TGCGTCATAATGTAATTTCAAAAGAGAAAACCTAACAATCAATTGATATTCACAAGAGACGTACCTTGACATAACCTTAAATCCGTCGCATTGTCCGTGGGATTGTTTTCACTCATTTCTTACAATTGTTATCCACTAAATTTGAAAATAAAAAATACTATCCTATTAAATATGTGTGTATCAAATCAAACTAAAAAAAATATTTACAGAAAAACAATACTTTCATTATTTTTATGCTAGTGAGAACCAAAAACAATATGGAAATGAATGAGGGAAAACTGGATCCTGCCACGTGATTTCCCGGCCAATAATAAAAATGTAGCGTTAAACGTTTAACGCAACCTTGTTGGAAGTCGCATAAGAAGTATAACTTCAATAAAAAAAACTCATTAATGACGTTTCATTGTTAGTTGTACATTAAAAATAAATTCGCGAATGGTGTGCTATTGTTAGTTTTAAATTGTAAATGAACTCCTAAATAATGTTTCATTATTATTCATTAAAAATTTCCTCGTTAAACCCACGATTTCGTTAAAACTCAAATTTTACAAAACATTTTTGAAAAATAAACAATTTGACAGTAAATAGTTTTTAAAAGTTAACAAATAAATCAATAGAAAGTAAGCATTCTAATTATATGACAAGCATTTAAATATAGAAGTTAATCAAAATTTGCTTAGTTAATATAACTACAAAGAAATTATTGAAAATTAATTATTATTCAAGTTTTTTATTGAAAGCTTTGGAATCTACAAAATTTATCACTATCTACAAATTAATTTACGATTCCTACTGTTCATAAAATTTTTTTATTTCACTTTTCACTATTTTTTATTATAGCTCATGGGGATAATTTTTAACAGAAATAAAAGATTAAGTGGAAAGTGTCATAAAACGATATTTATTACAAAACTAGATTATTCTGTTCAGTATTTATACTATTTATATTAGTCTCTCTTTCATGAGTTGAGGACAAATTAGCAAATACTAAACAATAACTCCTCTGCACCACACAATACAAATGGCGCTGTCTATGTAAGCGACAGCTATTACCGAGATTCTGAAAGAAACATTCGTAATCACACTCAACCCGTGAATACGCCCTCTAGCGGGGAGGATATTTCCAGGCTACTATTTATAATATTTAGTTTTCATTCAGTTCCATCAGAATAACGGCATATGTAGGACGTGTTTTTTCCATCAGCAAGTAGATAAAAATTTTCTAAGAAGAAAGCTGAGGAGCTTGATAAAGTAGTCTAGAACATCGGTAAATGCAATTCGATTTCGTGATCGCCTACTATTACGGATGTATATTACGGTAAAATAAAATTTTTACTGTTCAATCCATTGTAAATTAAAATGAAATTAAGATATTTAAGTCTCTTGCCTACTTCATTTCAATGAAGAAAAGATGGTTTAAGAACGTGTAAACCTGTAACAGTTCTTGAACATTCTTCTTTATAGAAAAGTATATAGTTCTGAATATATATAATATTGGAAAATAATAGTAAAGGATCATCAGAATCACTTGAAACAATACATTTGTGTTGATTATTAGTACATTTTTAATGTTTTCTCGGTAAGTATTTATTTATTTTTAATTTTGATTGATCAATTTCAAGTGGAATTTAGCTATTCTGTTCTTAGGCTACATGTTGAAATTTACACTGGTGGACAAAATTAAGAGATGGAAAGCATTTTCGCACATTCATTCGCACATGCAAGATACCCACACACTGCTCCATGTGTTTGACAATGGTTCCGTGAATGCCCAGAGGTACAGGCAAGAGGTAATAGAGCCTTATGTGCGTCTTTTCAGGGGCGCTGTTGGCCCTGAGTTCATTTTTATGGACGACAATGCGTGACCACATAGGGCTCTCATGGTTGATGAGTATCTGGAAAGCGAGGATATTCAACGAATGGATTGGCCAGCCAAATCCCCTGACCTGAATCCTATTGAACATGCTTGGGATGCTCTTGGGAG